ATCTCGGCTCACCGCAACCTCTCCCTCCCGGGCTCAAGCAATTCTCCTGCCTCAGCCTCCCGAGTAGCTGGGGTTATAGGCATGCACCACCATGCCTGGCTAATTTTGTATTTTTAGTAGAGATGGTGTTTCTCCATGTTGGTCAGGCTGGTCTTTAACTCTTGACCTCAGGTGATCCGCCTGCCTCAACCTCCCAAAGTGCTGGGATTACAGGCGTGAGCCACCGTATGGTTTTTAAAGGTATTTCAAGTGCTAGGCATTTTTTTTATTGTTGGAAAAGTCTCTTTTCTTTTTCTGTAGAGTATGGTTTTTAAAGATATTTCTTTTTTAGAGTATGATTTTTTTAAAGGTATTTTTTACCTTTAAAGGTTTTTTATTTTTTATCTTTAAAGGTTTTTTATTTTTTACCTTTAAAGGTTTTTTTTTAAAGGTATTTCTTTTTTAGAGTATGGTTTTTAAAGGTATTTCTTTTTCTGTAGAGTATGGTTTTTATAGGTATTTCAAGTGCTAGGCATTTTTTTATTGTTGGAAAAGTCTCTTTTCTTTTTCTGTAGACCTCTCCTCTCTGGACACCTCAGTAGTTTTAAGCTTAGTATTGGTCTCTCTTCTTTCTATTTTAGGATACCATGGCCAAGCGGAATACAGTGATAGGAACACCATTTTGGATGGCTCCAGAAGTGATTCAGGAAATTGGATACAACTGTGTAGCAGACATCTGGTCCCTGGGAATAACTGCCATAGAAATGGCTGAAGGAAAGCCCCCTTATGCTGATATCCATCCAATGAGGGTAAGGAAGTGGACAGAAAGCCAGGAGGATGGTTAGTTACTGATCATCATTAAAAACTTAGTTCAGGCTGGGCATTGTAGCTCATACCTGTAATCCCAGAATTTTGGGAGGCTGAGGCTGATGGATCACCTGAGTCTAGGAGTTTGAGATCAGCCTGGCCAACATGGCAAAACTCTGTCTGTACTAAAAATACAAAAATTAGCTGGGCATGGTGGTACACATCTGTAATCCCAGCTACTTGGGAAGCTGAGGCAGAGGAATTGCTTGAACCCTAGAGGCAGAGGTTGCAGTGAGCCGAGATCATGACGCCGCACTCCAGCCTGGTGACAGAGTGAGACTTTGTCTCAAAATAAATAAATAAATAAATAAATAAATAAATAAATAAGTTAGTTTGATAGCTTACTTGGTTAGGTTGCAAACAATAACTGAATTATGTGTAATTCATAAGCGTCACTATAGATAATAAACGTCTGACTCTAGTTGTAGTCATTAATTGTGTTCCACCCCTCTTCATTTCAGAGGTTGTGTATTGATAGCCCTCTGGTAAGACATAGGCCATAGAAATGCTTAGTTTGATTTGTGCTACACACACACATTCTCTCTCTCACTTTGAATAGTTTAGGCAACCACATTTTAACATGTCAACATTCACTAGAGCTGAATAGCGATTGTCTCCTTAATACAGAGTATGAGCTTTCTACTTTATCAGTCTCCATGATTCCCTGTTATGTCAGCAAGTATTAGCTGCCACTTATTACAGTATTTCTATAATATTTTTCTTATAATGGTGTTAAGAGGAAAGCAAACTATATTTTTAAACTCATGTCACTGAAACCCAGCCTCATTCAGTTTTTGTCTTTCTTCTGCCTGGCTGCTATATGTGTTGAATTTGTAAGTTCTGGTTCATAGATCCTCAGGTTCTTTTCATCTGGAGGCTATGTACTCTCCAACCTCCATCTCCTTCTAGAATGTTAAGAGCCCATAGAATACATCTCCAGTAAAACTCTTCCAGTGCTCACACCCTTAACAGTTCTCAGGCTTTACCTGTCCCAGCACCCCTCATCAAAGCACTGTTGTTAAGACCCCCCAACCCTGTCTTCCTGAGGGCCTCTGTGGTCCTCTCTATCCTTCCTTTCCCCAGCTCTTCCTCTTCTTTGATTAATTATATCTATTAAAAGACTTAATGATTTTTTTAAAAAAAATTCATGTTCCCAAGGTAAGTGCTCCCTCTTTTTTGGGTGCAAGAGTGAGGAGATTTACTAGTTACAATTTTAGATTTAAATAACATAATTTAAGCTGCTTATTTGTAAAGAGTTTTACTTTTCAAAACACATGACTTTTTTAAAATTGGAAATTTAATAAATAAGTTTTATTTTTTGAAATAGTAGAATGTAACTGCAACATAGTGGACCAATTTTTAATTTTTTTCCCCTTACACTTGTGTTGATTTAGCTTAGTCTGGAGGTTAATGACTCTGTTGCAATTTTTGGGACCTCTGGTTGATGACCTCCTTGTAATTACTGCTGTCATCTAGGGGTGGTAGTAACTTTTAAAGGCAGGGAAACTTGACAACTATGGGGCCAAGGTTATCTTTAGGATATACATACTCTTAGGTCTTGCCTTTCTACTTTGAAAGGCAATGTACTGTGGTTACTGAAATAATAATAATAATGATAATAATAATAATAAAGCTTGATTGATGTTGTGAGGTTTAGGGAACAAGACCCATATATGAGAGAGGGAAAAGGAAAGAGGGAGCTATATCAGGTTCTTTAACTGTCAGTCTTTGTACTTTCAAATGCTTAGACTTCTGTTGGAATTTAGGTGAGCTTCTCAGTGAATAAGTGAAAGATCATTTACTAAGTTCCAAATGTAATTCCAGATGTATTTTTTATTGGAGCATTACTTTTCTTTTACCATATCTTTTTGTTTGTTTGTTCTAACCAGGCAATCTTCATGATTCCTACAAATCCTCCTCCCACATTCCGAAAACCAGAGCTGTGGTCAGATAACTTTACAGATTTTGTGAAGCAGTGTCTTGTAAAGAGCCCTGAGCAGAGAGCCACAGCCACTCAGCTCCTGCAGGTATGAATCACCCTGTGATGCTGCCTCTCTCCATTTCATTTACACACTGACCAAAAGATGCCATGAGATTACCTACATAGAGTTAGTAAAGAAGTATAAGGCAGGCTGGGTGTGGTGGCTCATGCCTGTAATCCTAGCACTTTGGGAGGATGAGGCAGGTATATTGCTTGAGCCCAGGAGTTTGAGACCAGCCAACGTGGTGAAACCCTGTCTCTACAAAAAGAAGGCAAAAGATTAGCCGGGTGTGGTGGCACATGCCTGTAGCTCCAGCTACCTGAGAGGCTGAGGTGGGAGAATCATTGATCCTGTGAGGTTGAGGCTGCAGTGAGGCTTGATAGTGCCACCACATCCCAGCCTGGGCAACAGAGTGAGGCCCTGTCTCAAAAAGCAAAAGAAATTTAAGACATTCCCTTCCTCTAGGAAGGTTTGAATCTATTTGAGTAGAAAAGACATGGAAAAGAATGTTAAATCATCGAACCAGATAATAATGCAAGAAAATACAGGGCAGTATGGGATTAGAGAAAGGGAATTGACATTTAGTGAGCACCTACTGTGCGCCACATACCTTGCACGTGTGTCATTTAACCATCACATAGATCCTGTGAAGGGTGAGTATTATTTCAGTTTTACAGTTGAGAAAATGGAGGCCTAGAGAAGTTTACTCCTTTAGGGTCACTCAGCTGGTAAATAGCACAGTCAGTATTAGAACTTGAGTCTTTTTATTCCAGAGCAGGGGTACTATCAAGTCTACCCGAGCCTGACAAAGAATTAAGATCAGTGGTGGGTACTGTTGTAGTTCAGGGTAGGAGAGGGCCTCTTTGGACCGGAGATGCTAAAAGTGCTTTCCTGGAGGAGGTAACTTCTAGGTCTGGCCCTTGAAGGATAGGTCGGATGTGGCAGGCAATATGCTTAGTGTTTAGGAGCTTGGATTCTGGTCAGATTGCCAAGGTTTTAATTCTGGCTCCCAATTTACTGGTTTTGTGATCTTGGGCAAATAACTTAACCTCTGTTCTTTAAGTTTTGTGGCCTATAAAATGGGGATACAGTATCTGCCTTATATATTGTGATGATTAAACGATACATTTAAAGTGTGTTACTTTGAACAATGTTCACATGTATTGAAGACAGTATGGTATGAACTTGGTAACTATCTGCTATCATAATTGGGCTAGGCCATTTGCAGCCATTTCAGATGGCCAGTGCCCCCTATTTATAACCAATGCATATATTTAAAAACTCTCGTTACTTTTCTGGAATAAAACTCAGATAATAAAACCTTTTTATGCCCGTAATTTAAAAAGAATCAATATTGTCTATGATGTCATGGAGAAAAATAAAAATAATTTATAATGAAATAATATGGCTGTCAATGTGCAAATACTTCAGCCTGACCCAGTTTGCAGGCATGATGAAATAGATACCTGTGCCTGACGTCATGAATGAATTTAGATTTAAGAGCCGTAAGAAAATCAGAAACTAGCTGGGTGTGGTGGCTCACGCCTGTAATCCCAGCTCTTTGGGAGGCTGAAGTAGGCGATTATGAGGTCAAGAGATAGAGACTATCTTGGCCAACATAGTGAAACCTTGTCTCTGCTAAAAATACAAAAATTAGCTGGGCATGGTGGCACACACTTGTAGTCCCAGCTACTTGGGAGGTTGAGGTAGGAGAATTGCTTAAACCCGGGAGATGGAGGTTGCAGTAAGCTGAGATTGCGCCACTGTACTCCAGCCTGGTGATAGAGCGAGACCGTCTCAAAAAAAAAAAAAAAAAAAAAAATTGGCCACATTTATTTGTCTCTGATTATAGAAAGTAGTATACGGTCTTACGGATTTTCTAAGCGGAAAGAACAAGGCAATATGATATTACTGCAAATGAGCTGGGTCTTATTTCTAAGTGGATTGCCAAATTATTTTCCTACCTGGATAGGGTAATGACAAAATTTTATGGAAATGTATCTCCTGTATTGTAATTTGACCATGTTTTGAGGTATACTTTCAATTTCTGGAGTTCTTACAAGGGCCTTGGAAATCATATCTTTTGATAGATGATGGAGAACAGAGAATGGATTGCCAAGAAATAATGGGGACAATATTGGAATAAGTTTGGAAGACAACAGGCAATCCCCCCAAAGTAATTTCCATATGTAACTTTCACAGCATAGATTTCTTACCACGTGCTACAGACAAAATAAAAACATGTGATGGTATTAATATTAAAAGCTTTTAAAGCAATTTTTATTAATGAAATTCAGCAGTATACCTTTGTTTCAAATGTCTTTCATGACTGAATAATATTTGGGTCAAAATCTGTTACATATGTATGATCAGTTTTCTAAGAAACGTAAGTTTCTTAGATCTATGTTGCAAAACTCTATTAAGAAAAGTAGAGGAACTATTTCTGCAGTAACTGCATTTTTGCACTAAAATCCTTTTTACCCAAATGTGTAGTTGGAAATGCTACAGTATAGTGAATAGAACGAACAAGAGATTTTTCTGTGATTTCTAAATAATTTCTTTATTTCATTAAGCTAACCTCTTTAAAATCACCTCGCAAATCACTGAGGTTTTTGCATATCTCTTGAAAAAATGTTTTTAGTATTATCTACTAAGGTGTGTACACACCCTGAGATATTTGAAAGATGTGCAGAGTCTGCCACAGTTCATTGTTGTGCAGAACAGTTCTGTGCTTTGCAGAATTGCTAGTGTCCCAGGCCATTTGTGCTCACCAAACATTGTGACAGCTATAACATGCTCCCAACATGTTTACACAACTTCCTCCAGGAGATGATACTCCCTATTGAGAATCTCTAGATTTGACAGAGGGAAATGGCACAGGCATTTCAGCCAGGCTGAAAAAGCTGGGTAAAGACTGAATTTGTTCTGCTCAGAGTTATAAAGTGAGTGTGGTTTAGCTGTTGTCCGAAGCGTGAAGAGAAAGATCAGATTCATTGATTGCTTCAACAAATGTTATCAAGTACCTACTGTGTTCCAGGTACTGTTTTGGCACTGTTCCCATATAAACTGTCTCCAGCATTTTCTACTTTGTTCTTTAAGCACCCGTTTGTAAAGAGTGCCAAAGGAGTGTCAATACTGCGAGACTTAATTAATGAAGCCATGGATGTGAAACTGAAACGCCAGGAATCCCAGCAGCGGGAAGTGGACCAGGACGATGAAGAAAACTCAGTGAGTGGCAGGCATTGCTGTAGGCCTCAGGCATTGATACTTGTTAGTTTATGATTGCCAAACCAGGTAAGATGAGTCGAAGGTATTGGATCAACTTGGAGCTGGAGACTCTTCCAGCCTAACTATGTCCTAACCTGGACCAAGGCATGCTAGAGGTTTGCTGTATCTGTGCTTGTTCTTTTCCCAGTGCTTTCTAAAGCACTTTTAAATTTCATTCTTTTGCCCCATATCTTTTACTCAATTTAACTTTTTATTTCAGAGAGAGAATGCTCAGGTCTGAGACTTGGCTTTTCGTGTCCTTTTGGGGAATCTGGGATCCATACTTACCATGTAGGTTTAACATTATAGACTTCCTCACAAACCTGAGATTACAAAGATGTTCACATGAGTTTCTTAGATCTGTGTTGCAAAACTCTATTAAGAAGAGTAGGGAAGGAATTCCTTTAGGGCTAGATACACTGCTTTCACATGGATAAATTTGTCTTCTTTGCTTAAGTAACAGTGCTTTCATTTCTAGAAGATGAGTAAGTATTAATACTTATGCATTAATACTTAATGCATAAGTATTAAATCCTGAAATATTTGCACTAAGATGAGTAGTAGTTATTCAGGAAACTCAAAGTCCTTTGTCAAATTAGCCCCAATTTGAGATTTTATCCTTTTACAGGAAGAAGATGAGATGGATTCTGGTACGATGGTTCGAGCAGTGGGTGATGAGACGGGCACTGTCCGAGTAGCCAGCACCATGACTGATGGAGCCAATACTATGATTGAGCATGATGACACGTTACCATCACAGCTGGGCACCATGGTGATCAATGCAGAGGATGAGGAAGAGGAAGGGACTATGAAGAGTAAGGCTTTGAGTAAATCACTGACTTCTCATACCAAGTATACATATTTCAGAGAAAATAGATTCTTATGGTTCATGTAGGCTTAGCTTTGAGTTCTTTCTTTTGTCACAACCAAAGGTGTGTAAACATTGGAGGTTTGTGATGGGGGCAGGAGGTTTGGCGGGGGTGGGAAACTGGCTTATGGAGTCAGAGGAAAGCATCAACAGTGAGAAAGGATTTTGCTTTTGAACCAGAGTAGCCACTTTCTCGTTGAGTGTTATCATTTTTTCTCTCCTTGCCTTGATCTTTGGAGGCAATCACATGCATTGTTTGATGCGTAATTCCTGTCAAGGTGTAATGACATTCTGAGTTATTTACTGTACATATATCATCAGTTTATTTTCATGACAGCCTGTGTCTAACCTAAGTTTAACAACACCGTCAGTCAATGAAAGATGACTGTACAAGTTTAAAAGTTCTATCTAGTTTCTTCTAGTTTAAACTAATCTGCTTCTTTCCATATCTGACTGATCATTTTTTGCCTGTGACTAGGCCTGACGCCTTGTGTTCGGCTCCTGTCTTAGAGTGAAATTCTGATGTCACTCAGTGCTCGTAGTGCTTTACATTTTATCCCCTAAACTCAAGATTAAAGCACCCTAAAAGTACTGCATTTGGTGATATTGTCAACTAAACGCCATGTACTAGATTGCCCTTCTCCTCCCCTCGTGTTTTAAAAGTAGCCAGTATGATTTATTAGGAGTGTTCATTTTGCAGTAATGAGCTGCTGACCTCTAGTTCTTTTCATTGACTCTGAGTGCTAAATCATCTACTTGTTTTAAAGGGTTTAATTATGTAGATGATTATAATCACCGTGTAATACAACTAGGCTGACCTGTTAGCATGTGTTGTGCATGCACGTGTTCAGGAATTCTGCCCATTTTTATTTAAAGAATTAATTTTTTTCCAAAATGTGATTTTCATAATTCAAATGGTAATTAATTCAATGAGTTGTTTATTCTTTTCAGTTTCCGAACTTGGATAGTTTTAGCATGTCTGATGAGAAGCATGCATCTTTTATTATAATCGTGAAGAGAACTATTTAAAAACCTAAGCAGTCACAGGCTGAGTAACATTAAATACAATTTATTCACAGTCTGTTGCAGGTTTTATAATTCAGTTTTGGATTACAGATTGACTGATTTGCCATTTATTTTGAGATTTTAAAAAATTCCTTATTGTTTTAGGAGTTACTTAAATTTATCCGTATGGAAAATTAAAACATACATACAGTTACACAGAATAATATCATGACCCCTATGGACCTATATCACCCACCTTCAGCAATGATCAACTCACTGCCCATCTTATTTCATCCCCACCTTACCAAAAAACAAATAGTAAACGCTTTGTAAAAGTATTCATTTTTAAGGCCATAAAAAACAGTGAGAGGAAGAAGGGGAATAAAAGATTCTTAAGGCAATACAGATTTCAAAGTCCTGATTTACTGGACATAGTATGACATCAGCGGTATTTTGGGTGAGATTTTTTTCTGACAATAACTCTAGAATATAGTAAAATGAATTAATTTAAAGCACATCTCAGTCATGTCATTTCTTTAAAATTGATTTTAAGTATTTATTTAAATTATTATTGTTTTTTTAACATACAGGGTTTTACTCTTTCCTAGGTTAGAGTACAGTAGGTGTGATCAGCTCATTGTAACCTTGATCTCCTGAGCTCAAGCTATCCTCCTACCTCAGTTTCCCAAGTAGCTGGGAGTATGTATAGGTGTGTCCAGCTAATTTTTTAATTTTTTGTAGAGACAGGGTCTTGTTGTGTTGCCAAGGCTGGTTTTGGACTCCTGGTCTCAAGTAATCAACCTGCCTTGGCCTCCCAAAGTGCTGGGATTAGAGATGTGAGCCACCTCTCCTGACCTGATTTAATATTTAACATTACGAGCCTGGGCTCAGATACTGACCTGCGTGGTGTTAGATAATTCACTTTCCTCCTGTGAGCCCCAGTGCCCTAATCAGTAAAATTAAATAAGTATTAAATTTGTTTGTTTTTATTGCCCCTTATAGCTCTAATTGTCAATACATTTATAAAAATTATATAATTAATGACAATAGAACTGAAATTTCCAGAGGTTAAAATTGGTGAAACTAGATAGACTTTGATTTAGTTCCTTATTTGAACCTCTTTGAAATGTTTATCCTTGGAAATTAAAATTATAATTGTTAAGGGAGGCTATGCATGTGTGGCAGTGAGTATGTGGGGTATGGGAACTCCTTACCTTCCTCTCAGTTTTGCTGTGAACCTAAAATTTCACTAAAAAGTCCTTCTTTTTTCAGACGGAGTCTCACTCTTGCCCAGGCTGGAGTGCGGTGGCATGATCTTGGCTCACTGCAACCTCTACCTCCTGGATTCAAGCGATTCTCTGCCTCAGCCTCCTGAGTAGCTGGGACTACAGGTGCATGCCACCACAGCTGGCTAATTTTTTTGTATTTTTAGTAGAGATGGGGTTTCGCCATGTTGGCCAGGTTGGTCTCAAACTCCTGACCTCAGATGATCTGCCTGCCTCAGCTTCTCAAAGTGTTGGGATTACAGGTGTGAGGCACAGTGCCTGGCCTCTAAAAAAGTCTTTAAAAAAAATTATAACCGTTGGCTGGTCCGAGTGTGGTGGTGTTTACAATTATTGATCACAACTAGTTTTTTTTTGTTTTTTTTCTTGAGATGAAGTTTTGCTTGGTCACCCAGGCTGGAGTGCAGTGGTGCGATCTCAGCTCACTGCAACCTTTGCCTCCTGAGTTCAAGTGATTCTCCTGCCTCAGCCTCCTGTATAGCTGGGATTACAGGTGTGTGCCACCATGCCCAGGTAATTTTTGTATTTTTGGTAGAGATGGAGTTTCACCATGTTGGCCAGCCTGGTCTCAACCTCCTGACCTCAAGTGATCCAACCACTTTGGATCTCAAAGTCCTGGGATTGTAGTTGTGAGCCACTGCGCCTGGCCACAACCAGTTTTTTCTTTGTTTTTCTCACTACCACTGTTTCACTTGATTAGCCCTAAAAAGAAAAAAAAATCATCTTTTAAGAAGTGCCTGTTCATGTTCTTTGCTCACTTTTTAATGGGGTTGTTTGTATTTTCTTATAAATTTGTTTCAGTTCCTTGTAGATTCTGGATATTAGACCTTTGTCAGATGGGTAGATTGCAAAAGTTTTTTCTCATTCTGTAGGTTATCTGTTCATTTTGATGATAGTTTCTTTTGCTGTGCAGAGACTCTTTAGTTTAATTAGATCCATTTGTCAATTTTTGCTTTTGTTGCAATTGCTTTTGATATTTTTGTCATGAAATCTTTTTTTTCTCCTTTCCTTCTGTTTGATTGATTGAATCCTCACCCCCATCACTTCCTTTCTCTTCCCCTAAATCCTCTCTCCCCACTCTCTTCTACCAGCTGGCAAAGTGTATGCATAATTATGTGCTTACTTAAATTTCTACTTTCCTAATAAATGTATCCAAAGTTAATCAGTATCTCTATCCTGTTCCTGAATAAGAAAAAGAATTTAAGATATTTTGCCTTTTTTTCAAACTGCCTCTCCCGTATTTTGTTGTTATTGTGTATTGCTTTGGTTTCACCAGGTTTTTAAAAACATTAGCTACTATAATCATTATTTAGAGTCAATACAATTTATGAATATAGTGAGCTACTAATATGTTTGTTTACCTTTGCTTCTTTTAGCTTATGCTTTATCTTCTGGGCTAATTTTTCTTGTTCTCCTTTCAGTAGGGTATAATGGGTAGCAAACTTTTATAATTTTTATGGCTAATAAAAGTCTTATTTTTCTCTTTTTTGAATATAGTTTACCTAGACATAGATTTCTAAGTTGACTCTTATTTTCTCTTTGTACTTTTAAGGGATCATTTTGATATTTTCTGATGTCTATTCGTGGTGATGGAAGTTCTGTTATCAATCTTGTTCTTTTGTAGATAATTTGACCTTTCTCTCTCTTTTTTTTTAATTTTCCTGAATCTTTTCTGTTTTAACTTATTGTCTCTACGTTGGACTTTTTTTCTCTTCTGATTCTGCTTCTGGCTCTATACTTTTCAGTCTACAAACCCAAGACTTTATTCAGTTTTGGAAAATTCTCTTTGGTTTCTCTTTTTTCTTCTCCTTTTTTCTGTTTCATTTCTTTCATTTTTTTTGAAATGTGGTTTTGCCATGTTGCCCAGGCTGGTCTTGAACTCCTGGGCTCAAGTCATCTTCCCACCTCAGTTTCCCAAGCAGCTGGGACTACAGGTGCATTCCACTGCTATGGGCTTGTTTTACAAATTTTTTCTCTTTATCTCTTTGAACATTTTTATTTCCCTTTTAAAAAATTATCTTTCAGATCAAGCTATTATCTTGTGTTCTTTGGGTCTAATTTCTGCTATTTATTGTGTCTGTTATCTCTCATGCTGTTATATTTTTTCTTTTGCATTGTAATTTTTGTTTTTGAGCTTATCTTTAGTGAGAATTATTTTGCTTGGAGATCCTTTGTATTCCTTGTGTTATACAGGCATCCCTAGGGCTCTATGGGGTATTTCTTTCTAGAGCAGTCTTTAGATTATTTCTCAATTCCACATTGTACTTGTGGTGTACAGCCAAGGGGATTGTATTTCTAGAAGCTGATTTTTTCTACCTCTTACCTACTTAAGCAGAAGCCATTTCTAAGCCGCCATCTTAAGCTTCTGGGTAGTGTTGTCCTGGCTCCTATCTTTATACTGGGAATTGAGTTCTGGCTTCCCCCTTTACAGGTATGTTTTTCCTTCTGCCTTATCCTGATTGCCATTTACACATCAGCCTTAAAGCTAAAAGTCCTTGTGATTTGGTTTTTCCAGTAGGCCACTCAGCTCAGTGCTGTGGGTTTCTTTCCTGCTTTTGGCATCTGAAAGTTTTCCTTTTCTGGTTCTGAGTGCTATGGGTTGTTGTTTGTTTGTTTTTTAAGTCTTGAATTTCTGTGTGTTTATAACAGGAGGGGAGGC